CTTTTTGCTGTTTTTTTAGCCTAAGTTCTGATGAAGAAAAACCCGATTTTGATGAAGAAGAAGAGAAGAAGAAGAAGAAGAAGGAGAAGAAGAAGCAACCCGGGGAGAAGGAGGAAAAGGAGGAGAAGGAGGGTGAGGACGATGAGGAAGAGGAAGATGAGGAAGAAATGGAGACTAAACTGGCAGAAATGAAAGCTGAGGAGGTGGCTGAACTCAAACGGTACAACACGTTTTGAAAAACAACATTTTTCTTTTTACTCTGGATATCATTTAATAATTCATTTTTTGATTCAGTTTTACTGGAAGCTAATTACATTTGGAACATTCTGTTTAGAAATGTGAGATTTTATTACTCTTATGCTTCATCAGTAAGAAGAGGAAGCTGCTGAAGGAACGGCGGAAGCTGAGGGAGAGGGTGGAGCTGAAGATGGACCTGCCCGGCGTCTCCATCGCAGATTCCCACGACTTTTCCATGTTCTCCATCAGCACCATCAAGAAGCAAAAGGTGAAGATAAGACACACGCACACGCACACACACGCAGAGGACATTTTCCCACAATTGTATAAACTTGCTACAACACCGTTACCGAGTACACTGGACATTTAACAAAAAAACCTATTCTGCGACTACACTCAATGTCTTTAGACTTTGATCTTCAAATGTGGGGGGCCTGTGCGTCTCCAGGGGAGCTTCATAGCAGGGCCAAGTTTTGCATCGCAATATTTCTCGGCTTGATCTAATATGTGCAACACTCTGCCAAAAATAGACATGCCGTGTAGTTTTATGTGGAGCCGCTTCTGAAATGCATCCTGTGGAAGCATCGTCTTTAGTTTTGATGCAGATACTGTTGTCCCATCTCTAATGTCTCCTTCCAAAGTGTTTGGTGGTGGGGAAGACTAAAAAAAGCTAATTCCTTTGCCATTCACGTCTCTCCATCAGACCCTGGCAGATATATCCAAAGGGGACATGCAGCTGGCGGACACCCTGGGAGATGAAGACGACGACCTCCACCTGTCTGATATGGAGGGTGACGATGCAGATGAGATTTCCCTCGCCTCTGATTTAGATGATGAGGACATGGAAGAGGTGGAGCAGAAGCAGAGAGAGCTGGCACCAAAGAAGAAGAAGTAAGACAGACCACTCTTATAAATGTTTTTCCGGTCATGTATCGATAATATTGTGCTACTTTCACAGAAAAAAAACATGTAATTATTTCTTTAAAAATAGTTCTTTACTTTAGCCTGTTTGTGTCTGTTTCCAGAGTAAAGTTTGATGAAGAAAAGGAGATAGAAGGGCAGGATAGTGCCTTGCTGGTTGAACTGGAGGGAAAGGATGAGAAGAAGGAGCGAGAAACCAACCTGTGGTTCAGCAAGGTTTGTCCACTTCCCATCATTTAATATATTCACAATGTTCATGTTATAAAATGATTTCTCAGCTGCCTATTTGTTCACATCATTACTGATCTGCAAATAAGTGGATTATTGTGTGACCTGTGACCCTTCCATCTTGTTGCACTGTAGGGCATATTCTCTGAGATTAACCTGGAAGGAGACGCCGAAAGCGAGCTCCGACAGACTGAGTGGCTTCAGGAAAAAAAAACAAGTAAGAGTCTGTTTTTCATGAAATGATTCACACTTGTTCATCAAAAGTCGTTTTTTCTACAACGTACTTTCATGACTCAGTAAAACAAAATGTAAAATATCTGTACTAAAAAGGATAGTAGCTCTATAAATCTGGTACAGGCAGTATAATAACCATTATGGATCTTCTTTTGGAAAAGGCAAAAAGAGGAAAGCTGAAGATGAAGATGTTGCAGAGGGGGAGGAAGAGAAGACTGCTACGCCAGAGGAGGAGGAGGAGGAGGAGGAGGAGGAGGCGGGACCTTCAAAAGAAGCTGAAAACGACACTGACAGCGACTCAGATGACAGCAGTGATGATGAAAAGTAAAACCTAATTTTCTGTTGATGCTGTTTTCTGTTCCAAATCCAGTTACATTCATACTATTGACAAATGTACAAATAGTGAAATGAATATTTTGCTGCTTGTTTTCAGGGAGATCAACAAGATGAAGCAGGTCACTAGAGGGGCTGGGGGGACGTCTGCTGGGACGTCAGTTGAGGCCAATGAAGAGGACTTCCAGGTTGTCCCTGTAGAAAGCATAAGTGAGTATAAGGAGCATTTATGTTGCAAGTGTTAAACTGATAATTTCCAATCTACACACATCCTACCTCACGGATAATCAACTGAAAACCAGGTTATATGCTCAAAATACTTTCAAAATGCAGCCAGTAAAATGTATTTAGCTTTTTGTTTTGTGTAACTTTGTTAATAGTTTTGGCTTCTGTGCTCCTCAGGTAAGAAACACAGGATCCTGGATGCAGAGGGCCTGGCCCTGGGCTCTATGATCGCTACATCCAAGAAGCGAGCCAGGGACATGGTGGACGGCTCCTTCCACAGGTGTGTGTCTGTGTATTTAAATGTGTTGTGTTGTGATGTTCTCACTTCTCAACTGGTTTAAATTGTCTCACAAAACTTACAGTATTTATTTAAAGTAAAAGGCTGCAAACATTCTATATTTTTGTATTATCAACACATCCAATAAAAACATCAAAATCAACAATATGTAGATCATACTATCAGAAACACCTCTGTTGCCAAAGCCGGACACTAAGGTAAACCTCAGTTTGCGGGCTTTAGGGGTTGAGTGTCAAATAAAGCAATAGGGAAATATAATGACTGAAATATAATATATGCCTGATGTATTATTTGAAAATAATTGGATTCGAATTTCCTGTCAAATCTGTTACCAGATGCCTCATGATTTAACTACACACATCAGTATCTGTTTCTGAACCCAGAATATATGTTTAATATGTCCAGACAGCAAACTGATTGTTTGTTCTTGCAGGTTTGCTAGCTCCGAGCAGCAGTGGGATGTACCGGAGTGGTTCATGGTTGACGAAAAGAAACACAGGAAGAAGCCGACTCCTGTCACCAGAGAGATGGTGGAGGAGTTCAAACAGAAGTGGAAAGAGATCGATGCCCGACCCATCAAACGAGTTGCCGAGGCGAAGGCCAGGAAGAAGAGGAGGGTAAGAAGATGATCAGACATAAAACAGGATCATGCTGTTTTAAGACAAGCGAAACTACCCAAAACATTTTTTTTTTTTTTTTTAAATGTACTTCAAATTTAAAATGATTCTGTGTTTCTCTGATGTTTCCAGATGCTGAAGAAGATGGATCAGACTAAGAAGAAGGCAGAGGCAGTCTGCAACACAATCGACATCTCTGAGAGGGAGAAGAATGCTCAGCTGAAGAGGTATGACAGCCCGCACCTCGGAAGGAGACTCCTTGAAACTATATACATCGCTTCATACTGGATAATTGTAATATAACATCAATTGAAAAACGTTGTCTTTTCTTTCTGCTTCTGTTAGTATCTACAAGAAAGCAGGCATGGGGAAGGAGAAGAGAGAGTTAACATACATTGTCAGCAAAAAGGGAGCTGGCAAGAAGGTGAGGCGGCCCGCCGGTGTCAAGGGAACTTTCAAAGTGGTGGACGGTCGCATGAAGAAGGACATGCGGGGGAAGCAGAGGAAGGAACAACGAGCCAAAGGGGGCAAAGGAAAAGGCGGCAAAGGAAAGGGTGGCCCGAGAGGAGGAGGGATGAAGGGTGGTAAGGGGCAAAAAGGAAGATAAATTTGAACCTAAAGCGCTCTAACCGTGTATTGCCTTTCCAGTTATTACACAGTCTCATGTTGCAGGTGAACATTTATGGCTAAGTTGCCACCACAGTTTGGGCTCCAATATCATGTGCAGAGGCCAAAATGAGTTTTGGTCATTCCCATGCGTGCATTTAGCATTGTTTGCTGAGTTTCCTGAAATCCCTTAAGATATGTTCTGTGGGTTCATAAGTACTGGTGTTCTGTATACATCTTTCTGAAGATGTAGATTTTCAAACTCTGTGAACAGAGTGGTTTAAATTAACAGCTAAACTGTAAATGTTAGAAAATCAAGTGAAATATAATCATTCTCAATAAATGTTGCTATTAATGTAAATATTATAAACACATTTTTGCAATAAACGTTTTGTTCAATCCTTAAATCTGTGGTTCTCTTCATTGTGCTGGTTTTGTTTAATCGGTATGAGTCAAAAGACATCGGTTATAAACTAAAGCAGTTTAATCACTTTCGATCTGAAAAAGACAGTTGCAGCAGCTCCTGTCTGGGACCTGCTTTTACAGTGTCTGGATGCAGCCATTCAGTGACAGGTTTTAAAGTTGCACTCAATTTAATCCTATTTTTATTTTTAGGAGAACACGTTTTCTGTAAATGAACAGTATATGGAAACACAATAAATGAATGTATAAATTAAATAATACAAGTTGAGATAAACAGAACACACATTATTATATACCTTTAATATATTTCTACATTTATTTTCACATATTTATATATTTTTGTATTTCTGTGTCTGTGCTTGTTTCACACCTTGTTGTTTTGCTTCGTAGCCTCGTATTGTATATGGTGATTTATAACAAATGTACTTTCCATTGCTGCAAGTGCACATGTCTTTAACAATATCTTTCAGTTGTTGAGCTGTCCCTGTTGTTTTGCTCCCACAATGCAGTTCGGCAAAGCGTGACGCCAACCCATTCAAAGTGGGCAGAAGCGTTGAAGCTTCAACGCACGCCGCCGTGTGTAGGGGCCCGTCCCCAGCGCAAATGACGCCTATGGTGCTATTTGCAATTGAAAATGAAAATAATGTAATAAAACAGACTTTTAATTATTCCTTACTCCTTTCTTCACATCCTAAACTTTACTTTTATATATTTAATTAGGACTTCATTTGGTTTATTATACTTGTAAACTTACTAACTTACATGAGTATTATTTTTGATGCATAACATTTGCCCTTTTCTCTGAAACTACAACTAACTACATTTCCCTTGAGCCTTTGCAACGCACGTAAATTGCGTCAGACTCAGATGCTTGTACCGTAAAGCGGCTCTGACAGTTTGTTGATGTAATGCCTAGCTGTTATGGTGTTCGAGTAGAAAGTATTAAATATACATCGTTTTATTATAGCTATCGAATATCAAAGTATCTTCTTAGCTCAGTTTGAGTCGCTGGGTCTGAATTATCAAAGCAGTTTTTCACCATTAGCTTGTTAAGTAACGTTGTTTAGTCAGGTTAGCTTGAGCACAGGGGGTAAAGTAAGCCACCTGCTTTTGCTTTCACTTTCCAGGAAGTCTTTCTGGATATTCTGTCAGATATATAGTTAGCAGATACCCCCGTAGTGCCGGGATGCTCCTCGTGGTCCTGGTTGTCAGCCTGTTTCTGTCTGGCTCGGCACAGGAGGCGGACAACGACTGGATAGACCCGTTTGATATGCTCAACTACGATGCAAGCACAAAAACGATGAGGCAGCCTGCAGAGGTTGGTTGACGTTTATTGTTAAAAACTGTCTTGAAGGCCCTTAAGCTATGTTGATATTGTGACAGTTAATATTCGAGTGTGTGTATGCCTTGCAGCCTACAAACTATGAAAATGTGCCAACCAAGAGGAGAGAGTTTACTCAGGACTCCAACCAGGAGGAGCTGACGTCGTGCAATACACAAGTGGTGGATCTGAAGAGAGAGGTTGGTGGTCAGAGAGAGTTAGCATGTGGTAAAAGTTCTGTTAAGTATCTACAGCTACACCAGTGTTTCTGCAGATCAGGTCTGAATACAAATAAGTACTTATAAATCAATCATTGTGTTAATGCAACAGAAAAACAAAGAAAACAAGTTTTAAAAGGAAATAATGTTGGATTAAGATTTGGTGTGTATTCATGAGTTAATTCATGTACGTTTTCTCACATAGTTTTTAGAGATAGCATAGAATAGTTATACACTATTTTGTTTTACCTATAGTAATTCACTGATTTAACTCTGCTTTTGTTAAAGTATTTCCCTGGTAGAATGGTCTCTTTTACTCCCTTTATTGTATGTGAGGGTCTTTGTATGTATATATGTATGCTTTCTGTGTTTGACAATGTCACAAATAAATCATATATAACATAAAAAAAGTATTTAGCTGAAAACAATGTGCTGTATAGACTCATACATAAGCTAGAGACTATTTTGCAATGGTATCACTCGAGCTATGACGCCAAATTCGGCCAAGGGCTTGAAGTGCACAATGACGTTCATTTCGAAAACCCCCGAAAACTGTGTTCTACAGTAGGTAGGTTACAAACTAGGGCTGTGCGATTATGGCAAAAATCATAATTACGATTATTTTGGTCAATAATTGATATCACGATTATTAAATACGATTATTCATTGACTTTGAAAACATCCATTTATTAAAACATCCATTTATTAAAACATCCATTTATTAAAACATTATACAAATGTATTAAAACAAATACAAATAATAATTTGAACAGTATCTTTTTAACTGTTGATTACCCTGAACGTATAATTCAACTGAAAAACCAATACAAAAATAAATAAAATAAATGATACATTTAAATAAATAATATCAAAATAATAAATACCAATAAACAAGATCAACAAATATTTTGGAGCGCACTTCCACAAGCTACTAAACATATATAAATATGATAAATAAAAATAAATTAGATCAAATATGTTGTAGTGCACTGTCACAACCTAGCAAAACAAAATAATAGTTTTTTTCGATTATGTTGTTTTCGTAATTGTGGCAGGCCAAAATCGTAATTGCGATTAAAATACGATTAATTGCACAGCCCTATTACAAACTACAACCACCAAATCCTACTTATTGTGCCTTTTGAAAACTGTTTTCAAGATTCAAGGCTTATTGTCATGACATATACAAAACTACGATGTAATTATGTAATGTATGAAAAACTTAGATCGCAGGTTCCTCAACAGTGCAATTTCCAAGACATAAAACATATATATATATAAAAAAAACAACAATACAAATCTTCTTCGTTTTATGGCTTGTGGGATGAAACTGTCTGGTGGTTTTTGTCCTGAAGCTGTGGTACCGCCTGAACAGATAGGTTATTCTTTTTTAATCGTAATTTACTAATTCCATTTCTCGTGAAAACAAAAAGTCCTGCCTTGCTGATTGTCCTTTTAGTTTCAATCTGAACATTCATATGGGAATGAGACATGATTCCTTCATGGATAAGTAGAGATTTACAAATGGTGTGCTTTGCTTTCATTCAGATTGAAGAACTGAAGAAGAAAATATCGGTCATCTCACAGCAGCCTACATGCAATCCAGTTTTCAAACGATTCCTCACTAGACTCCGGAAGGAAATACTAAGAGTTGGTCTGGTAGGTGGTCTTTTCAAATGTTAACGCTTCGTCATGTGGACTTTAAATAGGTCTTTGCCAAACTTAAATTGATCCAAGCTTTTTTTGCAATCATCTTGTGGCCCTCATTTGACAATGCTACCTGTCCCGGTTCCGCCCTAGCCCAGTGACTCAGCAGAAGTCTTTTATGATGCCAAAATCAGAATGTCCACCCAAGCCATGACAGAGATTCAGGCTCTCCTGGAGGGCGAGGACAGCTGGAGAACCGGCGCTCTGGACAACGCCATCAGTCAGATACTGGTCGATCTCAGACCACATGACTACGAGGCATGGACGTGGCATTTTGAAGACAGCTTTGGCGTGGAGCTTGACACAGTATTAAAAGTAAGCTCATTTATTCATCTGAAATCTTTGTCTATGAGTTGAAAATTCTTTAATTATGTATTATTATTATTATATAAAAATAGTCACTGTTCAGAATTAGGGCTTTAAAATAAGTGTAGTCTTAAATACGTTTTGCTTGTGTCTTATTTGATATTGGATCATGTGTTGCAAAGTAACTGGTTAATGTAGCCTTAAAATGCAAATTCTTAATGTCTGAGTACTTTTAAAATGCTTTAGTTGCATATTTTCTGTATATTTTCCCCATCTTGTGTAACTATTCGCGTTGTGTTCTGTTCTCTCTGTTTATTCCAGATGGGCCTCTGTGTGCTGGTGATGGTGGCCATCATATGCACTCAGCTGTGGTCCACGGTGTCCTGGTTTGTTCAGTTCAGGCGGCTGTTCGCTGTCTGCTTCCTCGTCAGTATTGTCTGGAACTGGCTCTATCTGTACAAGGTGAAGGTCCATTGCTTGTGTTAAGCTGCCATTCAATACCGCTTTTCTTTCTTTTGGCAGGTTTGTAATACTGCTGTTTTTTTAATTTGTTTTTTTAATTTGTTTTTTCAGATTGCCTTTGCTGACCACCAAAGAAACCAAGTGAAGATGGAGAACTATGAAAAGTGCACTGGAATTAAGAAATTTGACTGGAGTGACAGCTTGAAAGGTGATTACAAGTGTTAATATATTTGAAAATGCATGGTTTCCACTGCACAGCAATAGCATGAAGAATAAATAATGATAGGGTCTATGCTTCTTGTTCAACTCATGATGTAATGACAGTACCGGTTCTTTAACAACGTTGAAGTTTAAAAGCCATTGAGGCCATTAATGGAATAATTTGAAACTATGAAAACGAGTTACCATCAGGTGAGTATCTTTTAAACTGATGTTTGTCGGTAGATATTTGTCGACAGGAGGCACTCTAATATTATGGATACCAAGATTTAAAGAAAGATGCTAGAGTCCCCGAATTGAATTTCAGTTGATTTCCTAACTACCTCTAATGTCTTCAATTGTTTTTCTACAGAGTTCTTCAGAAGCACCTTGACTCTTCAAGATGACCCCTGTAAGAAATACTATGAAGTCCTTCTGGTCAACCCCATTCTGCTGGTACCTCCAACCAAGGTATTTCACTGTAATAGCATGGATGTGTTTCCAGTCTAAGAACACACCTTGTGACAATAAATGTTACCTATACATCAAAAACATAAAAGAGCCAAAATGTTGCATTGTTGTTTTAAGGCAATAATTGAGGAAGAATATAAAGCATTTGACTCTGTCTTATAAATATGTTCCCATTTAACAATCAAGAGTCTTCTATTGGTTTTGAATATCTATATTGGTGTGGAAATAGTGACATTTTCCACTCTGTTTAGGCGATCGCAGTTACCATCACGACCTTGATCACGGAGCCGCTGAAGCACATCGGGCAGGGTATCAGTGAGTTTCTTGTTGCCCTCCTCAAAGATCTACCGATTACCCTGCAGATCCCAGTTCTCCTCACCATCGTGCTTGCCATTGTGGTAAGGAGTGTTGATAGATACACTGACCCTCATAAAATAAATGTTTCTCTATACTGATATATATTTATTGACTCTACAGGTATGCATGTATGGAAGTGTGCAGGCAGCCTTCCAGTATGGCATCGCTGCTCCTTTCCGCCGACCTCGCAGGGATCCCCCTCCTCCACAGCTGGAGCAGCAGCAGCAGCCTCGAATCCAGCAGATCGAGGGCGGGGACTACTTGGCAGGCGGGGACTACTTAGCGGGCGGGGACGCACCACAACCTGCCCTGAGGCTCCGAGCAGCTCCCGCTAATGGTGGAGGGAACCAGGTTGGTCAGAGACAGAGTGAGGAGCCAGCCATAGAGGTTGTGGAAACACTTCACGCAGCCGAGCCCCCCGACAGCGAGGACGAGGCAGATACTGCGCAGAGTGAGCCGGAGCGGATTGTCTCTGCTGAGTCAGAAAACCAGACGGAGACACAAGAGATGGAAGGAGAGAGTGCTAGCAATGCTGCTGCTAACACGACCAAAACTGAATCTAAACCCGCTGAATCTCCAGCGAAATCTAAACCTCTGAGAGGGAAGGAAATACCTCCTCCAGAGAAACTCAGCAAAGACAGTGCGGCAGCTCGCTCTCAGCCAGAAGGAAGGCAGCGTGCACAGACTGATGTCCAGGTGAGTGGTTTAACTACTTGAAAACTAAATTAAATAAATATTAATAATGTCTGAGTTTGGAAAAATACTGCTTTCTAACCCTCAAAGTACCCTGTTTATTTTTTAATGCTTCAGCTTTGCCCATGCAAAAATGGGATGGTGAATATTCACAGGCGACATAAATTGGTAAATAAGTATTTCATAAATAGTTCATATTTGAATTCCTCACTTCCCACGATCCATATTGTGAATGTGTTCAGCCAGTAACTTTTGGATAAAATGTATAGCTGTATTTTCATGTCCTGGGTTTTTGCTGCCACACCATACCTCTTAAGTTTGTTTAAACTTTAACACACATAATGTACTAAGTGAAGTGGAATACCAATTTTAACCAAAATACCATGACATACTGATAAATGAATTTGATGATATCCAAAATCTGAAGAAATTAATATTTTCTTCTCGTTTAGCTTCCAAATAATAATTCTCTGTATGACCATAATTATTCTACTTTCTCTTTCCTAATGAGTATAGTTGATAGATATATAATTGAATCTTTTCTTTTCTTATCAATAAAGAAGTGGAATTCCATTGCAAAAAGTACATTGAGTTAATAATTGTTTAATTGCCATTTGTAACATGTAGCAGAAAATAACATCTTAGTCAGATTAGACCAGGGGTTTACAAATTCTGATACTGTGAGCCAAGATAACTTAATATTGCTGTTTAGAATAACATCAGGCTACATTACGTACATAAAAAAAAATCTGTCCTTAAAACTACTGTGTCTCTGACCTACCTCCTTAATCCAACACATTAAGGCTATATTATATGATCCATGGAAAACTAATGCATCTAACTGAATGTATTCTGTACAAACTGTGAAGCCCCCTAAGGCACATTTTGTGATACATTGTGATATTAGGCTATATACATCAACTTTGATTGATTGATTATAATGTTTTTCCTTTTTATTTACTGAGTCTCTGTTAAATCAGTATTCAGCATCCCTTAAAAGACCGACCTCCAACTTTGAAAACCTCTGGTATAGACATTTAGGGACTCAAACCAGCATTAGGCTTAATTCCTTTACGAGGCAGTTGCTTTATTAACTCAGTAGACATATAGTGGCTCAATCTATTATTGCTGAATCTATTATACTTTGCTTTTTGAATGTGTTATTTGCACATCTTTATTTAATCATGTAACCTTTTTGTCTAATATATTTCTGATGTTTACCTCGTCCCAGCAGGACCTGCAGGCTCCAGCAGAGGACAGGACCCCCTCTGTCTCGCTGCTGCACGTTGAAACCGTCGGAGTTCCTGTTCAAGAGACGTCTCCAACACGAGCGGAGTAGGCAGCTTCTGAGCAGGAGGATTAGCGTCTTCAGTGTTTGGTGCTTTTTGTTGGACTGTGATGCAAAGGACAGTTACAACGTACAGGCATTGTTAAAATGTGCATGCACAACATTTCAAAGGTTCAATCAGGGAGCCAGTCCAGTGTTGCCAACTAACTTTATATTTCTGCCGTGCAGCCAAAGGAAGGTATCTTTCCCTGAGTGTAGATACCAATGCTGATTGATGAATCTGTTCATTATTTCAGGGTTATTTTTGCTTCTGCTGTATTTCCTCTTAAGCTTAATATTGTATCAATTACACAGCAGCTAGACTTAAACAGCTATCAGGGAAACGGATTTGTTGAAAGTCAGTATTGTTGACTTGATCTGATGTGTCAGTCTTACCCATGATCAGGAATCAGGTTCTTACAAACTAGGTTTTCTTAGTTTCACTGTAATGATAACACAGACTGTTTTGATTATTACAATGAACACTTGAAATATAAATGTAGACTTTGGAATTTATAAGGGAGGAAAAATATTTCCGAGTGCTGTTTTCACCAAATTATATTTTTGTGATTTTTTATGTTTTGTATGAGGGCTTAAAAGGTAATGTTGAAGTACATTTGTATGGGCAGCAGTGCTAATTTACTAAAAGTGGTAATTATGAATTTCATAAATTCCTAAACCAAAGTCTACATTACAAAATCATTGATATAAATTATTTAATCAATAAAAAATGGAATAGTCAGGTAAGTATACTGTCACAACAGGAAATGGGCAGCAATACTTAAGCAGTCTGTCTCAGCAGATTGTTTAGGCTTTCAGGCTCAAAGCTTTCATTTACTCGTTTCATTGTAGACTAGAATTTGCTGGACACAAACACGACTGTAAATGAATGATAATGTGGCTACATGTCTGTTGACTATGCTCAAATATTTTCTACATTAACTTTATAAGGTGATCATATATCCATGTTGTGGGGGCAGTTTATTGTCACTGCCCCCAAATGGCCAAAGAAAAAAAAACTGTAAATAAAATGAACCCCTTTAGAAATAAATAATGTTTCCATCAGGTTTTTAATTCCAACACTGTTACATTAAGGGGTAATTATTGGTAGGCAATACAATATTGTTCGATTTTTGCTTTTTCTAGTGTGGAGTTACTCAGCTAAAATAAAACCGAAAGAAGAGGTTTGGCAATTTGAGTTTTTTTTACTTATGTCAGATCCCCATGTGAGGGGTGTGTTTTTTGTTGTTGTAGATATGACCTAGGATTAGATCATAAGGGGGTATTCACATAGCGGACAGGGCTGTATCATTGTGGACACTGATGTCAGCTTCTTGGTATTTCTCTCTTTTTTTGCACCCAGGGGCGATGTTGCTTGCCATAATTAAAAACACTTGGTAGATACAGGCTGATTCCTATGAATGAGGACTAGGGCTGACCAAAAGTCAAACAAAATGTTGAGTTCAGTTTTTTCTCAAAATTCTGAGATACTTTTTAGTACACTTTTGGTCACCTCCCAACATATTTTCTCATGTGGCTTTAATTGTTTTCCGTAGATTACAGATTATTTTTTAGACTCAATATATTAAAACATGACTATCCCTAAACCAACAAAATGTTTGGGTTTTCCTCACCAGAATGCTATTCCTAAATTAAATAAAACATTATAAACCTGAATTATAAAGATTTGGAGACTACGTTTTTTTATTATTATTGAAGAACAGAAACTATAAAGCAACTGTTTCTTCCGTCTTTTGCACACAGTCTGTTTATATTTTTTCCATTACCAATGACGATCGTCTCGGTGACCCCTGGTGGTTCAGCGGACCTCAGATTGGAAACCTTTTCGCCGCCTGAAACTAATTTCCTGATTGGCTGAGTGGAGGGAGCTGTGTCACAGAACCCTATCTATCTGTAGAGCCTCCTCTCTGCTGTAACTGTGTGTCCGTCAGCCTTTTGACAACTAAAAACTCGCTTTTCTGCTGTGTCCACGTGGATCATCTATCATGGAATTATTAGTTCGGTATCTGGACCGCAGCAATTCAATTAGGTAAGTATTAGTTTTAAGAAACTAGCACTAAAACCTGTAAAAGTTGTTTGTTTTCGACATTTTGAAACTAACTTGAATGTTAAATTATTTTAAATGGTGTTTCTGAAGTTTAATATGTAGGTTAAACCGGACAAAATTAACATAAAGCCTATTTACATGACGTAGATGTTGTCTTTCCAAAAAAAACAGCACCACTCAGTTCATTCTCCCTGACAGGACCAGACAGGTAGTTAAAACAACTAATTTAGCAGGAAAACGGCTGTAAAAGTGTGTACAAAAAGGGAGGCGTGTGGTGCAGTGGGTTGTGCGTTGGTGTTCGGATTAGGGGGTCACAGGTTCAAACCCCACTGCAGTCAGCATGTCGTTGTGTCCCTGGGCAAGACACTTCACTGTGGGGATTGCCCACAGTATTGAGTATGTAAGTCGCTTTGGATAAAAGCGTCTAACAAGTGACATGTAATGTAAAAAATCTCCTTAAAGTTAATTCCCAGCAACTGTACAAATAAGTAGTATGAGATTTGAACTCTGTCAGGGAGAGCTTGTGGGCTACACATTTAGGAAAATATTGAAAGTGTACTTTCTAACCTTGGACTTAAACCCAGGCAGCCCTATGAAAGCATTCAGTGTACTTGGCACATGCAGTTCTTCCTGTGAACGATGGCTATTGCTCAAGTTTATTTTTCATGAAATAACTGCTTTCACTTCTGTTTATTTTTTCTGTTTCTGTTTCCTGTCCTCTTCATTTCATTTTATTTATTTCATTTTGTGTCACAGCTCTTGCATAACATTGCATGTTGTTTGTCTTTCAGCTCTGTCTCAACTCAAGATATCATCAAAGAGGACACCCTGAGAGATGACCTGAAGTATTACTTTATGAGCCCCTGTGAGAAGTACCGGGCCAGAAGACAGAAACCCTGGAAACTTGTGTTGCAGATTCTGAAAATTGTCATGATCACCACACAAGTATGTACAGTGGGATTAAGGTAGATGAGGAAATAAGATCCACCCATGAAATGCTTCCTCGAGCTGTAATCAAAGGGATGATTCATTTTGCATGTTTGACACAGGGTCTTACATAATGTGGGTACGCCCGTTTCTTTTCAAATGGCAGATGAAGTAGGTGAATTTACCCATACGTTTGAACATTATGCTTGCACGTAAAGATGACAGTGAAGGGCTCTGTAGTCATCTTTCCTTGTGGCACTAGATTTTCTTCTTTTGTCAGCATTTTACAAACAACCTAATATATAAAAACTAACCAAGAGACCAATTTCTTTATCAACAGATTACTTAAGAGGTAAAATTACAACTTTACGAGGTTCTAGCTACACACTACACTCCATAAATTAGGATTAGTTGAAAGTGCTGCACAGGTTAAACTATTCAAAATCTAAACTATATAAAATACTCCCCAATTGTTAATCTCTGCGACAAGGAGCCACTCCAACCTGTTTGTATTCTGCTCCGAAATAGAAAGCTGTTTCTGACCAAAATATTCAGCATCTTCCTCAATTTAATTAATTTACAACTGATTATATTGGGGAGATATATATAATAAAATATTTTGATAAATTGAAAAATGACTTTGCTACAATTAAAGGTGGGGTAGGTAAGTTTGAGAAACCGGCTCGAGATACACTTTTTGTTATATTCCATGGAATGCTCTTAACATCCCGATAGCAATGAATATCTTGAGTGCTTTGACAAAAAATCCATAAAAAAATGTCATCTGTGGAAGCCTGTAATACTGTAAAAAGCACGACCAATCATTTTAGCCGGCCCGGCTAAAATAACTGGATGGCCTACCTGCCTGTCAGCCTTCCATCTGTGCACAAACTTATCTCGTGCCCTCATTGGTCATGTGCACGTTCGTGTGTGTTGGAGGAGGGGCTCTGTAAGGAAGTGGCAGATTTTCTCCGGTTGTGTATTTTCAAATTCTAGCGATCACAATCCGGTTTCTCAAACTTACCTACCCTACCTTTAAGTGTTCATTATTGTGCATTGTCCCTGCCAAATAAACGATTAAATAAATAAATTCACTAAAAGTGGTAATTATGAATTTAATAAATTCATAAACTAAAGTTTACATTACATAATCATTGATATACATTATTTAATCAATAAAACATTGAATAGTCAGGTAAGAATACTGTCACAACAGGAAATGGGCCGCAATACTTAAGCAGTCTGTCTCTCAGCAGATTGTTTAGGCTTTCAGGCTCAAAGCTTTACTGTTTCATTTACTCGTTTCATTGTAGACTGCTATTTGCAGCAAAAAAAAGGTCTGAAAAACCTTTTGCTATGCCACCAAATCATAGGAAATTATATTGCACTTAGACTCATTTGCTGGACACAAATACTGTAAATGAATGATAATGTGGCTACATGTCTGCTGACTATGTAATAAATGTAAACGTTTTTTTTCATTACTGGCAGGCCGCAAACAACTTCACGGCGTATACTGCCACCCGAAGTCCCGGAGTCCCCCCGGAGTTGGGGACTGGCTTCAGCAGAAGCTGCTAGTTAGCGTCTTCCGAGTAAATCGCCAGAAGCGCTGACACCTCCTCATCACTCCACCGCTCCCATGTTTTCTTTTGTGTTGCCATAAGTTAGTCTCGCTCCGTTGGTGCGCTGGGCTAATGCTAATAATGCTAATGCGAGCAAATAAAATGGCGGCTTCAAACTTTTCTGAGTTTTACGAGGCGTGGTTTGCAATTCGCCCAGCCAATCAGAAATGGTTAGTGTGGCCGATACACCTACGAACCTTTTTCTCCCCAGGAAAGTCCCTGCTCTCAGCAGGAACTATCTGGGGGTGAAAAGGTTTGCGCGAACTAAGTTCTAGTTCCAGATCTTTTTGGTGTGAACGCAAAATCCCAAGAACTATCGGAACTATTCCTGGGAAAAGTACTCGGGTGTGAAAGCGCCTATTGGGGGCAAAGGAAAAGGCGGCAAAGGAAAGGGTGGCCCGAGAGGAGGAGGGATGAAGGGTGATAAGGGGCGAAAAGGAAAATAAATTAGAACCTAAAGCCCTCTAACCGTGTATTGCCTTTCCAGTTATTACACATTGCCTGCGTTTCATGTTGCAGGTGAACATTTATGGCTTATTTGGAAGCTGTGTGTCAAGTTGTACACTGTGACTCTTCTCTCTTCAATAAATATTTAAAAAGCTTACAGCACCGGGAATTTCCGGCGTATTCATGTTCTGTATAAACTGTAAAGCCCCCTGAGACAAAAGTACAATTTGTGATATTGGGCTAATTAAATAAACTTTGATTTACTTTTATTGATGTAGTTGGCGCAAGAAGTACACTTCACTTCAGAGCCCTCAAGAGCCCGATAAAGACGCCCCCTCCCCACTCACTTCCAAGGGACCTGAACAAAAATGGGACTAAAATAATAAAATAAAGTAATAATAAAATACAATAATAATTCAAATAAAATCATAATGAAATAAATAAAATAATATAATACTTAATACAATCATAAAAACTCACTTCAAAGAAATCAAGATATTTAATAAGATAACATTTTTGCCTCCCAGAGACATGAAAAAACTGGGACAAAAAATAATTAAAATAATAATTAAAATAATAACATTAAATTATTAATGATCAAAATAACAAAATAAAATGATAATGAAATTAATACAATAAAAAAAACATGTAATACAATGATAAAAACTAACTTGAAAAAAAAGAAATGTAATATGAAAAAAACGTTTTACTTGAACAAAGAAAATAAAGAGATAAAAATAAGAATTAAAAACATTATTTAAAAAGAACATTTTATATAAAACTTGAAAAAAAATACGAGTTAAACAATTAAAATAACAATTAAAATGTTTTTGTAAATGGGGAAAAAATATGTTCAGTTTTCTGCTTTAAAAAAGAAACACACACAAAGGTACGGGGCGTTCTATGTGTTTTTGTGAGTTTTCATTATTTGAGAGATTTTGGCTGTGTATTTTCAAATTCTAGCACACTCGAGCTGGTTTCTCCAAA